TATGTTTTTTGAAAAAAATCTGTATTAAAAAACTGCCTTGTATCCCAAGACCCCGTCGAGGAGCACAGGAGGCCCTCTCGCGAACCAAGGGGCACTAAGCGCGAGACCGCCACGGTGCCCCGGGGGCGGGGGCGCCCGGGAACGGCGCGCGGGGCGCCGCGCGCCGCCTCCCGAGGCGCGCCGCGCCGCCCTCGCCGCGGGGCGGCCGCCGCCCGGACGCCCCCGCGCGCGCAGGCGCCGCGGGCGCGGGCCCGCGGCACGCCTCGGGGGGGGCAGCACCATGGAGTGGTCCTCCTCCTCCTCCTCCTCCTCCTCCTCCTCCTCCTCCTCCTCCTCCTCCTCCTCCTCCCTCCTCCTCCTCCTCCTCCTCCTCCTCCTCCTCCTCCTCCTCCTGCTCCTCCTCCTCCTCCGCCTCCTCCTCCTCCTCCTCCTCCTCCTCCGCCTCCCAGACCCCCTCGAGCAATCAAAAACTCGCGACGGGAGGTTTTTCCTAATTTTCGGCCTCGGGGGGCCCTCGTCGAACATCCCCCTGTAGGGGGACAGGCCCGACGTAATGCTGGAGGTGCCCCTTCTGCCCAAGGCGCCCCCCAGGATACCCAGGGAGGCCCCCCTCGGCCTCCCCAGACCTCCATGGAGCCATGAAAAAAACATGACGGGAGGTTTTTCCCCAGTTTCGGCCTCGGTGGGCCCTCACCGGGCCTCGGGAGCGTCGAGAAACGACTCGGGATGCCAAGCCGGTCCCGGGGAGAGGGTCGGGACCCCTGGGTTGGTGGTCCCCAAACGTGGTGGTGACAACACCTGGGGGTGAGTCTCGGGCGATTTGGTGTCACCACCCGGTTTGGGGACTCGTGCGGTTTTCCGAGGATGTCCCGAACATTGGTGGGCCCAGGAGTCACAAAACCCGGTGGTGACCCCGTGTCCCCAAACCCAGCGGTGACTTTTTGGGGGATTCCAGGTCGCCACTTGGTGTCTCACCACCTGGTTTGGGGGCCACCAACTGGGGGTCGACGCAATGAAGAAACCAGTGCGTCGGGTGTCTGGGTTCGGGGGGCAGCGGCGGGGCGGCGGTTCCAGGGAGTCCAGCACCACCCTCAGGAGTTGGAGGGTGAGGGGGGTCCTCCTCCTCCTCCTCCTCCTCCCTCCTCCTCCTCCTCCTCCTCCTCCTCCTCCTCCTCCTCCTCCTCCTCCTCCTCTATCTCCTCCTCTTCGTCTTCGTCCTTCCCCCCTATCCAACTGAGTTGGAGGGTGAGGGGGTCCTCCTCCTCCTCCTCCTCCTCCTCCTCCTCCTCTTCATCCTCGTCCTTCCCCCCTAATTGTCCATCTCGTGGTGGCGGTGGTGGAGAGCAGGCCCATCACAGGGGGGGGAGTGGGCCTGAGCCCGGCAGGTCCCTCTGCAGGAGGAGTCTTCAAACACTGTCAAACATTAGTGTGAGGACTATGTTTCGACCATGTTTTGGATTTTGGAGATGGGCGACGTTTCGACTATGTTTTGAATCTCGTGTTTGATTTCTTGTTTCATGTTTCTTCTGACATCCACCTGTAGGAGGACACGCCCGACCTCAGGATAGGCATAACGGGGGATGCACCGACCCCCCATGGTCCATTGATCGCCGATAGGGCCTAACGAGCCTCATAGCCCCAACCTGCCCGGGAGCATGCGGATGCACCATCGGGGGCCCCTCGCCGATCCATCGGCGATGCATGGCCGATTCCAGGTCGATTTCCCCCCCCCCATATGCGAGTCCCCCCCTATAGTTGCCTCTCTACACAAGGGGATAGGGGCTACAAAGGGGGCCAGAGGAGGGCCAGTTGAGCGACCCGCCTAAGACCCGTTTGTTTTTGTCGCTGAGTTGAGGTTCGAGGTTTTCGGGTGCTTCCCTCGGTTCTCGGCAGCTTTCCGGCCTCGGGATGCCTTCCAAAAGCTGCGCCTCGCCGATTGCGTTCCGGGGGTGCCCAGATCGTCCCGAACGGCCAACGGAGAGACGAGCTATGGAGCGAAGGCCGACGGCAACGACGGCGGCGACGACGACGATCAGAGGTGGGCGAGTCGAGACAACGGTAGTTGGCCTTCGTGGGGCCCTCTTGTCGCCACGGCAGGACGCAGCTCGGAGGGCACCTGTGCGTTTGGGGCCCGGGGAGCTGTCCGGGGGCCGACTCGGAGCGGCCGCGGGCTCGGCTCGCCCTCCGAACGAGAGGGATCGAGGGGCGCAGAACGGGGGCCCGGGAGGGACCGCCTGGGGCCCCTCTTGTTTCAGAGCGTGAATTACCTACCCCGCTTTCGCTTCCAGGCAAAACCAAGCCATACCACGCGCCTCCTCGTCAAGCGGCCTGACCAGTACATGCTGCAATTTGGCATTGTTTGGTATCTCTTGGAAGCGAGGGTGGTCAAAAGCGAGGTAGGTTTGTTTTCCCTTTATTGTTACCATTTCGGTGGTGGAGGACGATCAATGGAGAGGAAGCATGCTGCCAAAGAATTTCCAGATGTCTAGAACATGTATTAAAGCTGTGTTAAAAAAGGGGAGTCACCTGCTTCAGACATTTTCAGTGCATTTTTCCTACGTCTTGAAACACATGCTGAATCTGATGATGGGACTGTTAGGGTGTCCATTGTCGTGGCATCCCACGCATATTGGCTCTCAAGCCTCTCAAGCTCAAGTCGTGCCTGCTGGATGCTTTTGCTCGGGGCTCCCAGCGCCACTGCGCGCCTGCCTGCCGCCGCCGAGGCCGAGCTGAGGAGGCCGCCCCTGCCGAGATGCCCAGCGCACCCTGCGCGCCCTGCGCGCGCGCTTGCTCGCGGCCCGTGCCTTCTCTGCGCTCCTGCTGCTTCGAGGTGGCCCCCTCGGCAGGGCGCGGGGCCCTCCCGCGGGCCCGTCCCCGCTCGACCCCGACCCTGCGGGCAAAAACCCCAGTGAGGACGCGCGGCTCTGCTCCGGGTGCCCTTGCGCCCTTGCTCTTCCTTGCTCCTGCGTCCTCGGGGTTTTCGCCGTCCGCAGCCCCCAGAATCCCACCGTCGGCCTCCAAGGGTCCTGCGTCCTTGCCGCGCGCCCCCGATTCGGGTGTTCGACGGTACGGCACCGCGCAGTCGTGGTCAGAGGGGGGGTCGCCGCTCCGGTCGTGGGCATCGGCAGGGGGGCACGCGTGCGAGGCGGGCCTCTCGCGTGCCACGGGCGCGCGGGGAACGGCGGGCGCTCCCTCGAGGGTCGGCCGCCCGCGGCGCGTCGCACCAGGCGCCCAATCCACGAGGGCTGCGCTCACCAGCCTCGAACTTATCCCTATCCCTAAGGTCGACACGCCAAAAGGCGATGACAATCTTAGGGATGCGCCCTGAAGAAACTAAGGGAATCCCCAAGATTGGCATTGTGATGACGCGCTGCCCAGCTTAGGGATAGGGATATGCTCCAGGCTGGTAAGTCGCGCTGCCACGCGCAGAGCGGTGCCTGGATTCGGTCCGGGCCAGAATCGAAGAAGCAAGAACGCCATAAACAGAAACTTTTGGCGCTCCGCGCGGATTTCTCTTGGATCCGCGCCGTCCTCCCCCCACCCCCAGCGGCGCCTCTGGCGCCGCCCCTGGCGCACGGGGGGGGGGGCCAGGGAGGCCTGGCGCAGATCCAAGACATCCGCGCGGAGCGTCAAAAGTTTATGTTCATGGTTTTTGTTCTTCTTCTAGATTTGGCCCGGGCTAGAACTCACGGAGGCCTTGATCCTTCATGAAGATCCTCGCCGAACAAGGTTGTTCCTGCCCTGCCACGGCCGAGCGCGAGATCGTGCGCAGCGTCGGTTGAGTTCTGCGACAGCGCGCTCGGCTTGGCCACGGAGATGAGGGCTGCTACTGAGAGGCCTGACAGGGAGAAGATGTACAAGCTTCCAGGCGGTAACATCATCACCCTGGGCAGCGAGCGCTTCAGTTGCCCCGGGGTGTTCTTCCAGCCCAGGTTCACGGGCTGAGAGGTTGTTGGCGTTCATCGCGACGCAACCATCCAGTCGATCGTGATTTGCGAGGTGGACATCCGCAACTATCATCACGTCAATGGGGTCTTGTCTGGTGGCCCTTCATGTGCCCAGGCATCGGAGAGCGGATGACGAAAGAGCTGTTTCCATTGGCGTTTTCCATAAAGAAGATACAGGTAGTGACCCCACCGGAACGGAAGTATTCCATGTGGATCGGCGAGGCCCTCTCTTGTTTTCGCCGACCACCTTCAGAAAAATTAGACCTCCAAGGGGGAGTATCATAGGTGTCCAACCTTTGGTAACGACGAGAGGGCGTGCACGAAGTCCGCTCCCAACGAAGAGGGGGCTGCTTTGACTGCGTAGGTGGCGCTGCCGCACGCGGAGGCGTCCGCTCGCCGCGCGTGGTTGTCCACTGTTCCAATTGTAGTTGGCCGTCGTGCCTTGCCATGTCGGTTGTATCAGGCGATCGCGAACATGGATTAAGGGGGCGTGGATTATCGGGGGCGGCAAAGAGGGGGGTGATGACTAAGGGGGGGGGTGGATATCATGGCGGGGGCCATGATATTCCGCCAGATTTCATGGCGCCTCTTCTCATTTCATTACGTCCCTGGCCCCCCCGCTGGGCCGCGCACATGCCGCCGGTCATGATTTGCACCCCCCCCTCTTGGACACCCCCCTCTTGGCCGCTCCCGAGATTAGCGACGCGTCCCGTTTCCATGGGAAATCGCGGTTTCCCGCCGCCGAGTGAGGCGGCACCGGCCGCATTTTGGGGAGGGCACCTCCCCCGATCCATGGATTCGGCGACCGCGCGCCAAATCCATGCACTGCTAATCAATGTTTACGCGCCCCCGATTGTAGTCCCTGGCGGTGAGCAGCGCATTTGCGGTGATCATGCAAAGCGAGCGCTGCCCGAACCCTTTTTCATTCATGCGCGGGCACAAAGTTCTGGTCGCACGGACTCGAACTCGTTTTCGCGCGAACGCGAAACTGTTTCCGCACGAACGCGAAATCATGTTCGCACGAACACGAAACTCGGTCCTCACGAGCACGAGATGAGGCACGCATTGTTGCCCGAGCTCCAGCGCGAGGTGCACCTCGAAATGCCGCGCGACACTGCTGTTGGGTGCGCTCGCAGGCGCGGCTGGGCGCTCGCAGCCGAGTCCTGGGAGTCATTTTGGGGGGCCTCTCCGCCCGGCCTGTCTGGGCGGCAGCTCTGGGGGCAGCTCGCGCGGGCAAGTCGGCGCGGACAGTTTCGTGCCCCGGCGTCGCTCTCCCGGCCGCCCCGTGCCTGTCGGCTGCCGCTGTCGAGCCCGGGGCGGTGCTTCCCGTGGCGACGACGCTTGTGGGGCACAGCGGTGCGGACGCGGATGGGCGCAGTGCCGACGATTCGTGCGCGCGTGACAATCGGGCCGAACGAAGGGGGGGGATAGGGAAAGGGGGGGCTACGAAATCTGCTGCATGCAGCTGGTTTCGGCCCCGCCGCTGGGCCCATTCCTCGATGCATGGGCGCCTCCCGGCGCCGGGAGGCGCCGGGAAAATCAACTACGTGAGCTGATTCTCAAACCCCCCCTTTGCTATACCCCCCTTCCGCCCGGCCCGATCCAACGCCCGCACCGGTGGACGGGCTGCCACGGGTGTCCATCCCGCGGTGCCGCAGATAATTCATCTTGCGTAATTGCCCGGGGCGCCTAAACAATCTCGTGGCCCATTTCGTACCCTAGTGTGGCGTCAAGGGGTCAGCCTCTGCGAGGGGTGCAACGAGCCTGGCCCCCCCCCGCGCCTCCGCCATCCAAGGCTCACAGCTTGCGGCGACAGCGTGACTTCGCAGTGGGCGGTCTGTCTGTGGGTGATGTTCTGCAGCCGCCCGCGCGGCAAGCGGAGCCAAAGCGGCTCGGCCAGCACAGAAGGTGATGTGCCTCTCGCGCGTCCCCTGTATGTGATCTTTCGATTCTCTGGGGCGTGTGGGTATCGCGACCGGGGCCGCGGGCCCGGTGGCATGGCCCCCGCTTCTTTCGATGCGCTCTCTGGCCCTCGCTCCCTCCCCCCGCGCGCCTGCCTCGGGCCACGGTGCCTCGCCCTCCGCAGGACCCTGAGGAGGATGAGGACCCGCTGGGGCGGGGGCGTCGTGGGCGGGATCAGTTTCTGGGCTCGCCAGTCGTCGGGCGGTTCTCGTCTACCGCATCCGGATCGTCCTCCGCTGCCCGGGCCCGCGGCGGGACGTGTCGGGGCTCAAGAGACGGACGGGGGTCAATGCAAACCGGGGTCAGCCAGGGCACTGGATCCTGCAGGATCCTGCGAAGACCCCCTCTGGCTGACCCGGGTTAGCGAGCCGCTCGTTGCCGCGAGGCGGCCGCGCATATTGGCTGACCTGGGTTTGCGAAGACCTGCGTTGCGTTGTTTTTTTCCTGCATCGCAGTTTTTGGTTTCCTGCTGTCTGGGGTTTGGATTGACCTGGGTCAGAAGATCCCCGGATGTGTGCGACATTTCGGACACATGCCGCACAGAACTATTGATTTGGATGGCCAAAGTCATGATGCAGTTGGGGAATTGTTCCAAGTTTCCAAGCCTGATTTCATCGAGCAAATATTTTGGAATCACGAACGCTAATTCCTGGGCCATCCATAGGCAGCGACATGTTGAGGGCGTGGCTCACTACACCCCCATTTGCCAAAGACCGGATCTGAAGGCAGACCGTCGCCGACATCGTGTTGACATTGTGAACAGATGGGGCACGAGGACAGGAACAAGAGCGGCGCGCGGGAGGGCATTCAAATGTGATAGCTATGGGAGGACAGCAGGACACAACCCAAATGGGACGAGGGATTGGCGCAGAATAGAATTAGAGATGGCTCAACATGTAATGGTAAAGAGGGCAACACAAAGGAAGGGTCGCGTGATGGTCCCGCGCGCCCCGACATTGGGTGAGAAAAAACGCTCGGCCTGGCGTGGCACAATTTGCAAAGCGCCCGGGTCTCAGGTCGTGCCGTCCCAGAATTGAGGATGACCGTGGAGATTGCCACGGGGAGACAAGGGGGTTACAAGTCGATGCGAGAGTGGGTGCGTGAACTCATGTCCTCCTCCTGCTCCTCCTCCTCAGCTTCATCCCTCTCCCCCTCGTGGTCGTTGTCGTGGGATGCTAAAGTTATCTATGTATGGCGTGAAGTTATATATATATATATATATATATATCCAGATATAAGGTGTACTTGGGTTACACGTGCACGATGGGGCATGGGTGGATTCGACTAAATCCGCTAAAGAGGTTCAGGCCAGCTCAGTCCAGACCTCCGGCCACCCCGGATAACTGCCACGCCATGTGTGGGTTCGACTACTTCCGAAGGAGGCGAAGCCCACTTTCATTCAGATCCTAAGCCACTCGGGACAGCTTTGAACCCGCGAGCTATGCGCGCTGCACCATGCTGCTCCCTCTTGGCGGAGTTATCGAGACCACCCCAGCCACTCCTGGTGCCTGTAGCCCACTCACGAGCTATGACTGGCAACTTATCCTCCTCCTACTCCTCCTCCTCCTCCTCCTCCTCCTCCCCCTCCTCCTCCTCCTCCTCCTCCTCCTCCTCCTCCTCCTCCTCCTCCTCCTCCTCCTCCTCCTCCTCCTCCCCCTTCTCCTCCTCCTCCTCCTCCTCCTCCTCCTCCTCCCCCTCCTCCTCCCCCTCCTCCTCCTCCTCCTCCTCCTCCTCCTCCTCGCCCTCCTCCTCCTCCTCCTCCTCCTCCTCCTCCTCCCTGCCCCCTCCCTGTCCCCTCTTCCTCAACCTCCCTGTCCCCTCCGCAACCCCCGTGGCCTCCCCAGGGGGGGGGGGGCGCGCCGACGAACGACCCCGGCGCTCAGCCCATCCCCTTCCTGGGCCCGTTTCGACTCATCCGACTCGATTTCGATTTCGATGGCCTCGGGTTCGGAGTCGATTCGACGTCGGATTCTGGTGTGATGTGGATCCCGATGCCTCACTGGAGGCCCACCAGCCTGCCGATGTCCGCCGATTCGGCTTTTCTCGACTCGGCTGCGGATGTCCGCGGATCCGATTCATGTCGTTCGCCGATCCGACTCGTCGATTCGAATCTGGGCTCTCCTGCCCTTCCTGGGGACCCGACGGGGCGAGCGAAGTGCAGCCTCGTGAGAAAAGTCACGACCAGAGCCCGAGGCCCCACCTTTCTGCCCAAGTTTTCGAGCTGGATCGGTCTGTAGGGAGGAGCCCCAGGGTCCGAAACTGGGCGAGAACGCCTGGTTCATAATGACAATTGTGAGGAGGGAAAAAACACCTACACAATTAATCGTCGATTCCTTTTTGAAAATACGGGAAAATATGGGAAGTGTGGGGGAAGACAAAAACCCAGAGAATGTAGGAAAATGTGGGGATTTGTTTTATTTGTGTGTACTTGTGTGTGTGTGTGTGTGTGTGTGTGTGTGTGTGTGTGTGTGTGTGTGTGTGTGTCAGGGCCCCTTCAAATTGAGACGCCAGGATCTCAGGGCCAGCAGCCCTTTCTACCATCTCCGTAGGGCCTCCGGAAATCCCGAGACGCTCCCCCGGACCAGTTTTCCATCCAGAGTTGTGTTTTGACTCTCCCGGGGCCCGGTTAGGATTCCCAGAGGCCGAAAATTACCAAAAACCATCCGTCCTGAATTTGCCACGACGCGAGCATTGTCTGGCTTCCCTGATGTCGCGAACCTGGTAAATTCATTGGAATTCGGAGCCTTGGGGTGATACAGGGTATTCTTCTGTCGGAGGCAGGAAATGTCCGGAACCCCAAGCATCCCAATGAAGTCACACGGCTTCTGGGAAGTGCACCCTAAGAATCCCAAGCGTCCCAGTGAAAGCATTTTTTCCATCGCGACACGGCAGAGGCAATCCGCACCGCTGGCGCTCGAGTTGCCGGGGTTGCTCGACACATTCATGGTCCTGCAACAGGGGGCGGGTTGCGCGAGAAGGAGCAGCAGCCGCGGCGGACAGGAGGGAGGGCTAGGGCACTCACGGCCGAAAGTTCAGGATGAGCGCGCTGGGGCGGCCAGGGCTGAAGTGACAGATCGGAGGCGACGATAGGGGCGAATGGCCCAGGGGCGGGCATTACACGTATTCGCCTGGGAGCTTCGCCGAAGGCATGGACCATCGGCGCCTTTGGAGACATGCATTGCTCTCCCCTAGGCTATTCGCCCCGATCGTGGCCCCCGAACAGACGGCTTTGGTAGGAAATCATGGGAGCACGGTATATCCTCTCAATTCCGTCTTTAGCGTCGATTAGCGCTGACTGGCGCCTGGGAGTCGATGAGATAGAGCCGACTTCGCGTGGGTCAGCGTCGACTGATCGTCGATTGGAGTCGATCTAGCGTCGAGCAGCGTCGAATCGCAAGAACGGACAAGGTCGAGCAGCGTCGAGCAGCGTCGATCCGCTGCGTCGAGCAGCGTTGAGCAGCGTCGATGGTATGGGAGGTTCGCGTGCGTTGCCACCGGAGACGCCCCCAGCCTGGCCCCCAATCGGCGGCGAGCGAGAGTCAGGAGGGAAAAAACACACAGACACAATTCATCGTCGATTCCCCAGAAAATATGGGAACATATGGGAAGTGTGGGGAAGACAAAAAACCCAGAAGATATGGGAAAATATGGGGAATCATGTTATTTGTTTGTATTTATGTGTGTGTGTCCTGGGGCCCCTTTAGAGAGGAGGGGGAGGTGAGAAGGAGACGGCCTTCTCAGAAGGCGGCGGGGCCTCTCAGAGGTCCTCGTCGAAGGCTCAGGGCTGAGTCGGGCCTGTCCCTCTACAGGAGGAGTATTCAAAAGTAGTCAACACATAGCCTGGGGACTCTTTTCCCATGATCTCCATGCTATTGTTGAGCATTTGTTCCGCCTGTTTTCATTTCTCGCCCAACATCCGCCTGAAGGAGGACATGCCCGACCTAAACTTAGAGACAATTTCTCAGGAGGCCAGGGGACTTCCGAACCTTCTGGAAAGGCCTTCTCCTTCTCCTTCTCGCTTCCCCCCCTTCTCCTTCTCACTTCTCCTTCTCCTTCTCACTTCTCCTTCTCCTTCTCACTTCTCCTTATCCTTCTCACTTCCCCCCCCTCGTGCGCCGCCGACCCGCACAGACGGTTTCTACGGTTCTCGATTCCCAAACCCCCGGCGTCGTGATTTTGTTCACACCGTCGACCCACCACGGCCTGGACCCCCTCCCTCGGGTGCAACTCCTGGGAGGTCAAATTCTGATCTTGCCCTGGTCCGAAATACGGCCTAATCTGGATTCATCCTGTTGAATCCTGCTGAATCCTGCGTAATTCCGCTCAATCTGGCTTAGTCCTGCTCAGTCCGAGGCCCACTCCGGCGTAACAGCCCCCCAATGGCGCTTAATCCTCCATCCTTCCGACGAAGACTTCCCAGTAGTTGCCTCCTAACCTTCCCCAGGGCCGATGACTCGTCCCGAGTCGTCTCTTGGCGGTCCCGAGGCCCGGGTGCGGGCCCCTGCCAGGCCGAGAACAGCGAAACGCCTCCCGTCGTGATTTGTTTGCATGGCGTGAGTTTTCCTTTGTTTTTGCCTTTCGCTGACTCTGCCCCCCAGTAGTCTGCCCCCCGTTGCCATGAAGTCGGGCACGTCCCTCTACAGGAGGAGTATCCGAATAGAGTCAAAAATTAGTCGGGGCAGGATCTGTCTGCGATTTGTTTGACTATTCTTGAGCATGTTTGGACTATTCTTCGTTGTTCCTCCAAAGTCCGCCTGTAGAGGGACGTGCCCGACCTAACGTTACCAGGCGAATGACCATTCCAAGCATCGAAGCAGAGCCCGACAGGTGATTGTTTTTTATTCATTGTTTGGCCGATCGGCGCGGGCCCCTAAACACCCTTTCGCCCCCCTCCCCCCCCTAGGACCCAGTGCTGCAAACAGTCGCACTGAGCAGAGGTCCGGAGCCAGACGTCCCCCGTCTTCCGCCCAATACCGAAACGCCGAATAAAAAATACACCAGAGAAAAACACCAATCAGTGGATGGTTTTCGCTGAGAAGATCGACCGGGAACCCGGGAGCCCGGGAACGTAACCGGGCACCCGGGAACCCAGAAATGGGAACCCGGGACTCCAGCCTGCTACCGAGATCGGCGGGAAATTTTCGCCAACTGTTTCAGCTTCCGCTACAGTCGGCCCGGATTAGTAGGTCGACCCTGCCAGCTCAAGGGTACCTTTGTGTCCCGTGCCTCGCGACGCGTGCCTTCTCACATTTCTAAGGCGATGTGGCCCTCGGAAGGGTCTTGTGTCCTCTCGCGTGTCCTGTCCAATTCGAGGCCGACTGCAGGATCCTTTAGTCTTGGCATCGCTCGGACGTGTGCATCTTCTCTCGGCGAGGACCACCGAGGACCATCCTGGACCATCGAGCAAACAAAAACAAAAAAACACGCGCGAAACCGAAACATGCACGGGAAATGGACGTCCGAGCGACGCCAAGCCTGGGAGGTACGGGAGAAAGAGGGGGGGGTGGGGCGTGGGAACACGAAGACCGGGGAGGAGGACGAGGACGAGGTCGAGAGGAAGGATGAGGAGGAGGAGGAGGAGGAGGAGGAGGAGGGGAGGAGGAGGAGAAAGAGGAGGAGGAGGAGGAGGAGGAGGAGGAGGAGGAGAGGAGGAGGAGGAGGAGGGAGGAGGGAGGAGGGAGGAGGAGGAGGGGGAGGAGGAGGAGGAGGAGAGGAGGAGGAGGAGGAGGAGGAGGAGGAGGGGAATGGACGTCCGAGCGACGCCAAGTCAGTGCAGTTGCGGCAGTTGCGAAAAGCGCTCGCCAGGCCCGGGCGCCCGCCGCGGCGCTTCGCCGCGCCGCGCCGCCGCGCCCCGGGCCTCCACGCCGCCGCGCCCGCCCCGGGCCGCGGCCGCCGGCGGCGCGGGGGCCGCCGCGCCGGCGGAGGCGGCGGGGGGCACCGCGGCCGCCAGCGGTGAAGCAGTGGCGACGCGGCCTGGCGTGCCGGCAGGCCTACCGAACAATGTTCTGAGAACCCCTTGTGGTCTGCGCGAGATGCTATCAGGTCATGTCTGGCGGATGCTGTCTTGTGTTAACACATCGGGCTCATGCTCTAAGAACTATGTTTCTGCTCTTAACTTAGAGCATGTGCAGGTTCAAAGGACATTTGGTGGTAGGCCTATAGGAATGCCGGGACGGTCGGTCCCTGCTCACGAAAAAATCACGACGGGAGTCTTTCGCTCTTCTCGGCCCCTGGGGGCCCTCGCCATGCCTGAGATCCTGGCGCTGGAGGGTGTCTCCGAAGGGCTTAGGCGACCCGTCCTCCGCCTCTCTCCTCCTCCTCCTCCTCCTCCTCCCTCACCTCCCCCTTATCCTCCTCCTCCTACTCCTCCTCCTCCTCGCTCTCCCCTCCTCGGGTCGCCTACGACCCCGGGGGAAACCGTCCACCTGGCGCTGCAATTTTCTCACCCGGCGTTTTTTTGCTCAAGTTCGGGCCCTGGGACCTTCACAGATCGATCCGGCTCGAGAAGTGACGCAGAAAGAATGGGGTTCAGGGCTCCGGTCGCGATTGTTTGCAATGTTGCATGTTTTGTTTGCAACGTCGGATCTCAGGGATCAGCATAAACTTTTGGCGCTCCGCCCACAATGACTGATTTACGGAAAACCTGGGCACGGTGCCCAACAGCGGACGCTGTCCAGAATTGGCTGCGGCCGCTGTCAGGCATACGGCCTTCTGTCTCGAGTGGACGTCGCTCGTGGCTGCACCGACCGCGTCCCCAGTTCAAAATTGACAGGAATTGCAGCCAGTCTTCGTCCCCATTCTTTCTGTGCCCATTTCGATCGCCCCGAGGGGATCGAAGACGAAAGAAAGAAATAATCGTAAACTTTTGGCGCTCCGTGCGGATTTCTTGGGTCCGCGCTGGGCCCCCCCCCGGCGGCGCCTCCAGCGCCGCCTCTGGCGCGCTCCGCGCGCCAGGGAGGGGAGTCCAAGGGCGGATCCAAGAGATCCGCGCAGAGCGCCAGAAGTTTATGTTGATGCCGTTTTTCTGCCAGATACGGCAGGTTGTGTCGACTGGCGGCGGCCCCGCCGCTGGCGTTCAACGCGGAGCGCCGCTGGCGACCCAGAAGCCGTCGATGTTGAACGATCTGACGTTTCGGAAACGGCTGATCGTTCAAGGTTGAATGATCCCCGCGGTGTCCCAACGCCAGGGTCGACACGACACGAACCCGTCGTAGGTCACCGGCTGCGTTCCCCTACTCGCACAGTGCCTACTCGCAAACAATCGAAATACACATTGGTTTGGACGGTTTCCCCCAGGGCCGTAGGCGACCCGAGGAGGGGAGGGCGAGGAGGGGCAGGAGGAGAAGGAGGAGGAGGAGGAGGAGGAGGAGGTGGAGGTGGAGGGTTGAGGAGGAGGAGGAGGTGGAGGAGGAGGAGGAGACGGAGGGATAAAAATAAGAATAGTACTAATGATAATTGTAGTAAATCAAAAAACTAAGAAGAATATGAGTAATATTAATAATAATAATAATACTAATAACAATAATAATAATAAAAAGAATAATACGAAGAAGAAGAAGAAGGAGGAGGAGTCGGAGGAGCAGGAGGACGGGTCGCCTAAGCCCTTCGGAGAAACCCTCCAGTTTGCCTCGATGTTGTGGGTCGCAAATTCCTGGCGGCGGCGGATCCAGGCCGGGCCGTTTGCGAGTAGTGCAGCGCGCTTGTCTACTAGGGGTGATAGGCTCTAGTCGACGACTACATAGGGTATGGATACGCCAGGGTGTGGTTTGCGGTCGGCACCGTTGGGGCCTAGGGGGCACGACACTGTCCTCGTCGGGCCTCCTCGGGGCGTGGGAGAGCTCTATCGAGTTCCCCGCGCGCCCCCCAGGGTGTCCCCCCAGGATGTTCCCCAGGGTGCCGGTTGCAAGCCACAGCCTTGGCAAACCACACTGTGGAGTCGCCGATTTAGGCTGAAGGTTCCAGGTTGCAGGTCGAAGGTGTTCGGGCGTTCTCGTCGGCGCTCCGCGGCTCTCCAGGCGCAGGATGCCCTCCAGCGGCTGCGCCTCGCCGAGAGCGTTCCCCAGGGGTGCCCAGAGCGTTCCGACGGCCGCCAGAGAGACGATCGGGGGCGGCCACGAGGGAGGTGATGACTGGGGGGGGGGGGATATCATGGATGGGGGCCATGATATTTCCCTAGATTGCATGACGCCTGCTCTTATTTCAGTACGTCCCTGGCCTCCCCTGCAGGCCGCGCACCTGCCGCCGGCCATGATTTGCGCCCACCCCCTCTTGGACACCCCCCTCTTGGCCGCCCCTGACACGAGACACAGCCCGCAGGCCCTGCCACTTTTTCGCAGCGGGCGGTGCCGCCCAGCTTCGGGCCCCAGAGCGGGCGTTGCAAGGTTTCACGGGCGCCCAGGTCTTTCCCGCAACGGGCGATCTCGCCCAGGGCCCCGAACAGATCGATCCGGCTGGAGCAAGACGCAGAAAGGCGAGGTCTGCGGCTCTGGCCGTGATGTTTGTGATGTTCCAGTTCTGTTTCTAACGTCGGATCTCAGGGGAGGGATAGGCTCAAGGGGGAAGGCATCGGCCCCCAAGCGCCCTCTGAGCGCCTGCGGGTGCCTGAGAGCCCGCTGGGGAGCGTGGGCGTATTCGCCCTCGGGGGTCTATCGCCAATCTGTCGGCGATGTGTATCGCCTGTTCCAGGTCGATGTTCCCCCCCTGAGCCAGTCCCCCCCAGACAGTCGAGGCGCTGAAATGAGGACCGGCTTGGGCTCGAAAGAGACTCGCAGCTCCTTGGGTCCTCTCCGGAGCGCGCCCGCAGGCCTCCGGGGGGCAGTTTTGGGGGCCCCTCGGGGGCCTCTTGGGGGCCTCTCGGGTGCCTCTTGGGAGTCCCTTCGCCTCTTCGGGGCCTCATGGGGCTTCCTGGGAGGAGCTTCGTTCCTTACAGTCAACCCGCACGGTCAGGATGAGCGACTTTCCTCCAAGGTTGCCCTGGCATCCTTCCCCTTCGGCCCCTCCTTGGCCGCTGTCGCTGGCCGCGCCCCGCTTACAGAGTGTCGACGTGGCTGTTCAGGGCCCCTGCATCCTTACCGTGTCCTTGTTCACCCCGAAGGGTCTTTTGTTTCGGTTCCCCCTCCGCCGTCTCGCTCGGCGGTGAAGAGGACCGGTCCCGAAGCCTCCTCCCCCCCCCTTCGTCGTCGTAGTCGCAGTCGCAGTCGTGGCCGCCGTGCGCCCCTGCTGTGCGGGCTGCCCGTCTTTGGCGCTCCCTCTTCCAGCTGCCCGCCTGCACCGCTGGGCCCCCCTCCCTCCCTCCCTCCCTCCCTCCCTCCCTCCCTCCCTCCTCCTCCTCCTCCTCCCTCCTCCTCCTCCTCCTCCTCCTCCTCCTCCTCCTCCTCCTCCTCCTCCTCCTCCTCCTCCTCCTCCTCCTCCTCCTCCTCCCCAGGAGTGTGGCGCGGAGGCCCCCGCGCCGGGCGCCGGCCGGCCCAGCGCGGCGGAGCGCAGCAGCGCGGGCGGAACCACGCTGCACAGGATCGGAGGGGTGCGACTCGAGGCAGCTTACCTTACGCTGCATCTTCGGGGGACCTCGCCTGTCCCGAGAATTGGTGCCTTTCTGGTGCCCGACGCGGGCTCGATGAGGGCTCGACTCGGATTCACCGTGGATTCGACGCGGATTCGACACGGTTTCGACACGGACCCTACGAGGCCGACGTGGATTCGACACGGATTCGACGCGGATCGGGCCGCGACGGGACAGACAAGGTCCCCCGAGGATGCAACATAACTTACCAGCCTCGAACGTATCTTTATCCCTAAGATTGACACGCCAAAAGGCGATGACAATCTTGGGGATGCGCCCTCAAAAAATGAGGGAATCCCCAAGATTGGCATCGTGATGAGGAGATGCCCAGCATAGGGATAGGGATATGTTCCAGGCTGGTAAGGTGCGACTCGAGGCAGCGGCAGTTGCAGGGCCCGTCTCGGCTCCCGATCCGCTTCGAGTCGACCTCGGCGGCTTCCGATTCCGTCTCCAGTGTCGCTCGCTTTGGGACTGCGATCCGGGCTCCGGGTTCTCACCGGAGGCGCATCAATTAGCCTGCCGACGTCCGCCGATCCGACTTTTCCCGACTCGGTTGCCGATTTTTCCGAGGCGCGCGCAGTGGGGGTACGCACCCTACGATCCTGCCTTTGCCATACGTTTTCCCACCGCGCGTTGTCGCGCAAGTTCGGGCCCCAGAACCTTCGCAGGTCGATCAGGCTCGAGGAGTGACGCAGCGAGATGGTCGGCGGCGAGCGAGGGGGGGGACGTGAGAAGGAGAAGGCCTGCTCAGAAGGTTCGGGGGCTTCTGAGAAGTCCAGCGGCCTTCTGAGGAGGCCGTCTCCTTCTCACTTCCCCCCCGGTCGCCGCCATGATTGGGCCCAGGGCTCTGGTCGTCATTTTTGTGCGACCTTGCAATGTTTGGTTGCAACGTCGGATCTCTGGGCAGGGGAAGGGGGGAAGACTGCTCAGAAGGAGGACGCTTCTCAGAAGGTGCCAGCCTGTTCCAGGAGGAATATTCAAAATTCCTGAAACAAAGAGTCGGGCGGGCCTGTCCCTCTACAGGAGGAATTCCAAAACATACGAACAAAATCATCAGGGGACAATGTTTGATTGTGTTTGACCATTGCGGGGTATTTTTAAACATGTTTTTCAATTTTTCGCCCCACATCCGCCTGCAGGAGGACATGCCCGACCTAACGCTTCCCAGAAGGTGCCAGCCCGACATCCACAGAGACCAAGCTCGCGCCTTCTAAGGAGCAGGGGTGCTTCTCAGAAGCCTTCCCACCCCCCCGTTGCCCCCCCCCATGCGAGCCGCCCAAGGCTGCCTTCGGGAGGGCCCCTCGCCGGCACGGCTGCACGCCGCCCTGGAGAACGGACGCGCCTGGGCCCCCAGAGATGCGATGTCCTGATGTTGTTCGGTACGGGCTCCTCGGAAGTCCCGACCCTTTCCCCGGGACCGGCTTTTCCAGCAAGGGCCCCGAGAGGCTGGAGGCGGCGAAACATTGGCCGTCCGGATTTTGTCGCAACGCGAGCATGTCTGGGACGGTGCGTCTTCGAGCCGGGGATCGACCAAGTACAGAATTGGCTTAGCCCAAGATTTCTTTTCCGTCGAGTCTGCGAAATATGAGTATCATGCTCTTTTGGTATACGGAGGTTTCTGGTTAGTTTTGTTTAGATTCGGCGGAAAAAAATCCAGTCCGAACAATTCTGTAGTCGATCCCCCACTCGGAGAATCTTCTGACTCCTGGACGCCATCTTGGGCTCTTCTGAAGCCCTCTTGGAGCCATCTTGGGCCATCTTAGATGCTCTGACCGCTCGCGGGGCGCCCCGTCCAGTTCCAGGGGAGGGGGCAGGGGGAGGGGTGAATCTCTGAGTCCCGCCCCGAAGGGCAAGGGAGGGGGTCGGAAGAGGAGCCTCCCTAGATACGCCCAGAGGGCTGGTGCGATTCCGTAACCGATCCCCAGAATTTCCTTGCCGCGGGATGCATCCACGAAACATGGGTACAGTGGTCCTTTCATCTGCGGAGATTTCGATATATTTTGTGTTTTCTAGTCGGCGGGCCAAATCGAGCACGATCGATTCTGTAGTCGATCTTGGGAATTTATCTTGGGGATTTATCCTGGGGAGTTATCTTGGGGATTTATCCTGCTCGACGCCTTGGGGATTTAATCCTGGGCCGCCGGCGTCTGCGCTCGCCCTGCCCCGGCAGGAGGCACACGGCCTGCAGCGCGGCCCGCACGGGGCCCGCGCCCACGCCCGCGGCGGCGGCGGAGGCGCCCCTGGAGCCGGAGCGGTGGTCGAGCAGTGGCTAGGGGAACAAAAAGTGACATAAACATGAGAACTCGGAGGTCCGCGCGGATTTCTCGCATCGGCGCTGGACCCCCCTCCCTGGCGCGCGAAGCGCGCCAGGGGCGGCGCCGGAGGCGCCGCCCGGGGGCCCCAGCGCCGATCCGAGAAATCCGCGCGGACCTCCGAGTTTTTATGTTTATGTCACTTTTTGTTCCCCTAGTGGCGAAGCGTCCCGGCTTTCCCACGGGCCCACCGAAGAGTCGGAGGTTGATGGACCCCCCACCCTGACACGTCGATGAGTGAATGGGCCGTTTTCGGTTCGCTGGAGGGCGTCGCGGCCGTCATTTTTGCGGGTCCAGGTCCGTCGGTGTCGGTCCTGGGCCGCTTTCACTGAAGGGCGAAGCGTCCTGGCTTTCCCATGGGCCCACCAAAGACTTGGCATCGCTCGGACGTGTGCACTTTTTCTCGGCGAGGACCATCGAGGACCATCCTGGACCATCGAGCAAACAAAAACACGCACGAAACCGAAAAATGCACGGGACATGGATGTCCGAGCGACGGCAAGAAGAATGTTCGGAGAACCTTGTGTTCTAGGCCTCTTAGATGGGGTCGGAGTAGATGGGGTCGAAGGATCGCGCCACATCGCCGATGCGTCGGCGATGCATCGGCGATGCGGCTCGATGTGGGGCACAGTTTTCCACACGCCGGCGTCGCCGATGCATCGCCGACGTCGCCAGCGCATTGCAGATGCATCGCCGACGCATCGGCGATGCAACGGCGATGCGGCGCGATCCTTCGTCCCCATCTACTCCGACCCCATCTTAGAGGCCTCTATTTGTGGTCTGCACGAAATGTTCTCAGAACATTTCTGGCTGACACTGTCTTGTTTCAACACGTCGGGCTTATGTTCTAAGCAGATTGTTTTTCGTGGAAAATCTGTGGGTTCTAAGCACATGTCGTATTAGGCCTAGAGGAATCCTGGGACGGTTGGTCCCTGCTCAAGGTGGGCCGCCTTCCTGGAGCGCAACGGCGCGATGGAGCAGCGCAGGCCGGGGCGTTGCCAAACTCGAAGAAGAAGAAGAAGAAGCATCTACACGAACGGGCCCAGCGCGGATCCAAGAAGTCCGCGCGAAGCGCCCACAGTTGATGTGTTTACGGCGTTTCCTCGTCTTCTGCGAACGCAGACGTGCTCCCCAGACCCCCATCGGGTCATGGAACAAGTCACGGCGGCAAGTGTTGGTCGCCCTCTTTTCGGCCTCCGGGGGCCCTCGGCAGGCCTCGGGGCCGCCAAAACGGTCCTGGGGAAGAAACGAGACCTCCGGGGGTCGACGTTACAGTGAGCGGCTTGAATAAGGAACACTTACTTTTCAAAAGGGGCTCGGTCGGTCCTTGGGCTTTACATGCGTTATTTACAGTTCCTTATGCGTTATCTATGATTTATCGTTTCTTATGCGTGATTCCTTGGGATAATAAGGGGCTTCATTCCTTATTGTAGTGGCCTTCGGCCAGTGCCGCCGATCCGGGTCGCTCGGTGTTATTCTCCAGACGCAGACATTATGGGCGCACACTCAAACGCACAAACTTCTCGGGTTACCTTCGAAAGGGCGTAGGAATGCAGTTGGGTCAATAGAGCCATCTCGCAACGGTGGTTCTATCAACAGCGGGGTGCTTGCAGTGACCGTGGGGACGGGAAATAATAATGACATGAAAATTCCATACAGGATGCCGATCACTTTGGAAACTCACGATACGTCGTGCACGGAGTCGTGTTACGAAACATGTGGCCTGGACGATGTGGTGCGAGCGGTGGAGGCGAGCCTATCGGCGCAAGGACGCCCTCTTGGGGCGTTTTTTGAGCCATCTTAGGAGCCTGTCAGGGCGTCGTGGGGGCTTCTTGGGGGCTTTCGGAGGCCCTCTTGGAGGCTCTTGGGGCCTCCTGGGGGCCTCGTGGGCTGGAAGGCTAGATTTTTTCCGCTTTTCGTCCCTCTTTTGGGTCCTCTTGGGGCCGTCTTGGGGGCCTGTTGGGCCGTCTTGGGCGGCTCTTGGGCCGCCTTGGGGCCCTCTTGGGCCGTCTTGGGACTGTCTGGGGGCCTCCTGGGCCGTCTTCGAGCGGTCTTGGGGGCCTCTTGGGCCGTCTTGGAGCGTCGGAAAGCCGAAAAAAGCGACAACCCCAAAAACATTGAAAAAACCAATGGGAATCAACGATTTTTGCCTCTGGGGGCCATCGTGGGAGGCCTCTTGGAGGCCTCTTCAGACGTCGTGGAAGGCTCTTGGGCCGTCTTGGGGCCATCTTGGGCGTGTTCGGGCGATCCTTCGGGGTCTCGGGACTTTCGTAGACCGTCCTCAGAGACTTTTGCGGCCGCGGCCACCCTTCCAGCGCATCCTCGAGATTAGAGCCTTCTGTAAAAGCAGCGCCCCGCATCCGCCGGAAACTCGCACCCCCCCCCCCCATCCCCCCTTCCCCGGCAGAGCCACCCCGGCAACCCCCCCAGAGGCTGAGGCTCAGCCTCCGGCAACCCCCCCAGAGGCTGAGGCTCAGCCTCGAGGCTGTAGCTGAGACTCCTTGAAACTCACAAGCCGGATCGGCGGATTTATCGTTCCTTAGGTCAGGCCGATGACTGTACGAAAGAATCCTGACGTCGGGGGTCTGGGTCCGCCGCGCGCAGATCACCCGCGCCCGCCTCGGCTGGGACGCCCTGGCGATCGCAGCGAAATCCCCCGAGCGCACCAGGGCGCGTCGTCCGAAAAAACCGGCGCCGAGGCCGCCACGGCACGGGCCCGCCGCGGAAGTCCTCGCGCCCGAGGAGGCCCAGCACCCCGGCATCGCTCGGACGTGTGTATTTTTTTTCTCGGCGAGGACCCTTGAGGATCACCCTGGAGGAGGAGAGGAGGAGGAGGAGGGGAAGGAGGAGGAGGAGGGAGGAGGGAGGAGGAGGAGGGAGGAGGAGGAGGAGAGAGGGAGGAGGAGGAGGGAGGAGGAGGGAGGAGGAGGAGGAGTAGGAGGAGGAGGAGGAGGTAGGAGGAGGGAGGAGGAGGAGGAGGAGGAGGAGGGAGGAGGAGGAGGAGGGAGGAGGAGGAGGTAAGATCCTGGACCCTCGAGCGAAGAACAGCCACGCACGGAGCCGCAGAACAAATGAGAGGGGAGATGGGCGCCCGAGCGACGGCAGGGCACGGGGTCGTCGAGGTGCAGGGGGCGGCCACGCGCAGAGGGGGGGGGGGTCATTATGGGGGAGGGGGGGTACGGTAGGTTCGTGTCGTGTCGACCAGCGGCGACCCCGCCGCCGGAGTTCAATGTTGAACGCCGACGGCGACCCAGAATCGATCGATGTTCAACGATGTGGCGTTTCGGAAACGGCCGATCATTCAAGGTTGAACGATTCCCGCGGTGTCAAAAACCATCGCCTGGGTCGACACGACGCAAACCTGCGGTACTCCAGATTTCGTAATAAAGGGAGGGGGGTCTCATTTCGGGGGGGGTCTCTTCCAGGCTATCCTGGAGGGCCTGGGGGGGGGTCTGGGGAAGATGTTTTGGAGGGTTCTCCCACGGGGGGGGTCTGAAATGGCTTGTCTTGGAGGGTCCAGACCCCCTCCCTTTTATTACGAAATCTGGAGTAATTATGGGGGAGGGGGGGGGAGGTGTCTTAGAAGCACCCCTGCGTCTTGTTGGCCTTCTCGGCCTTGTGGCTCTACGATCAAGTGCAGGGTCTGTTTTATCGGTGTGACAACTGATATGTCTCCAACTGGAGACTTGCTTGTCGCATTCATTTTGTTCTGGGGGGGTACAAAGAAGCACCCCTTCTTCTTTCAGGCGATCGCAAACATGGATTCAGGCGATCGCAAACATGGAGGTGTCTTAGATTGGGGGCGGAAAAGAGGGGGGTGATGACTAGGGGGGGGTGGATCTCATGGCGGGGGCCATGATATCTCATCAGGTTTCACGGCGCCTCTTCTTGTTTCATGACGTCCCTGGCCCCCCAACCTGGGCCGCGCACATGCCGCCGGCCATGATCTGCGCCCCCCCCCTCTTGGACACCCCCCTCTTGGCCGCTCCCGAATGGGGGAGGGGGGGGGAGGTGTCTTAGAAGCACCCCTGCTTCTTTCAGGCGACCGCAAGCATGGATTCAAGGGGGCGTGGACTGGCGACGGGTGCCGTTTCCATTGGGAATCTCGGACTTCTGCCGCTGAGAAAGGCGGCACTGGCGGCTTTTCGGGGAGGGCGCCTCCCCCGATGCATGGATTTCGCGACCGCGCGCCGAATCCACGGATCGCTAATCCATGTTTGCGCGCCCCCGATTCTTAGAGGGCGCGGGCCTCTTCTGAAGATGCGAGGCCGGCACCTTCTCAGAAGCGGCCTCCTTCTAAGAATCACAGCGTGAATTACCTACCCCGCTTTCGCTTCCAGGCAAAGCCAAGTCATACTACGCGCCTCCTCGTCAAGCGGCCTGACCAGTACAGGCCGTAGTTTGGCATCGCTTGGTATCTCTTGGAAGCGAGGGTGGTCAAAAGCGAAGTAGGTCTGTCTGCCTCCTAAAGAAGCCTTTCCCGCCCCCTCCTGCCCCGCTCCGCGCGCCGACGAGTCTTGAAGGAATCGGGCGGAGGTGTTGCATGCGCCGCTTTCGGCCTCTGGGTGCCCCTGCCAGGCCCCAGGGGCCGCCAAAAACGACTCGGGATGGAAAGCCGGTCCCGAAGGATGGGTCGGAACTTCAGGGGACCGTAAAACGACGCGAAGATCGGGACAAAATCGGATCGGGATAACTCGAAATCTCTGAGAATCGGCGGGTTTGGAGGATGTATTGGGCGCCGCGGCCGCTCCAGAGCGTTCCGGAACGCTCTGAGAGCGCTCCGGAACGCTTTGGAGCGATTTATCCCGATCCTAGCCCTGTTTTAGACCGCGCATGTATTAAAATCAATGTATCGCATGTTTGGGAAGGCGTCCCTGGCCCAAGGTGCCCCCAGGACTTCCAGGGCCCCCCCCCGCGGCCTCCAGAGCACCCTTCGCGAGGCACAGGGTGCCCCAGGGGCTTCAAGATTGCCCGAAAAGCTCGGAGGCACCTGCAGTCAAAATCCGTAGTGAGGATGCGCTGCTTCATCAAGGCTACCCCTGCTTCCCTGCTTGTTCGGCCCATCCTAAGCCAGTGTTGACGTCCAATGAGCTCCAAATTGTCAATGGGACTTCCAGGGATCTTGCATCCTTGCAGTCAGCCTTTCGCTGGCCGCGCCCCGCTCGAAAAGTGTCGACATGGCTGTCCAGGGCCACTGCATCCTTATTGCGCGTCCTTTTTATCCCAACAGGGTCTTTTGTTTGGGTTCCCCCCCGTTGTTTGTTTGTTGGGACTCAGCGGTGAACAGTGCTGGTCCTACAACGTCCTCTCCTCCCCCCTCGTCGTCGTAGTCGCAATCGCAATCGTTGTCGTAGCCGTCGCCGTCGTTTTGCGCGGCGGGTGCCGCGGAGAGCAGCAATTAGTTACCCCCTATTGGTAGCACCCTAGTTCATCGATAAGGCCGCCGAGAATAATTTAATACACGCCAGTCGCTGAAAGTAGGTATTTGGGGATTTCCATTTCCCAAGCTACTTCAAGCGTCTTCCTACTTTAAGATCGAGCGGTGAATTCCCTCCTCTTCGGGTGGCGGGCGGAAGTCAAGTCTATTTCCAACGCCTTTCCTATTTCATGTTCCTATTCACACGTTTCGAATGACGGGCAAGGGGACCTCCGACGTCGCGATTGATTCACAATCTCGACCCCCAGAGTTCTGGACCACTTCCCCAGGACCTGTTTCTCACCCTTGGTCGTTTCTTGACGGTCCCTGAGGCCTGGTCAGGGTCCCCAGAGGCCAAGATGCTTTGCACCCTTCCTGTGAAGTCTGTCTGTCTTGGGCAGGGGCAATCTCCTCGCGACCCCCGACTCAAGCAGTGGCGAAGCGTGCTGGCTGGCCTGTAGGCCCACCAAAGAAGGTTCTAAGAGTCTTTGGAGGTCTCCACAACACATTGTTGGAACCTTTCTGGCTCAGCCTGTTGTGTTTTAACACATCGGGCTCATGTTCTAAGAGCCTTGTTCTTCGCCCTAAAACATGTTTGGGGGTTCTAAGAATATTTCGTGGTACGGTCAACCATGATAGTAAGGATGGGGCAACGTCCAAGGCCACCCTTGCAGCCTTGCCCCCTCGGTATTCAGCATCCTGCGGCATCCTGCTGCGCTCCGCACGGAAAGCGTCAACGTGGCGTTCCGAGGCCCTTGCACCCTTACCGCGCATCCTTACTGTCCTGGTCGAGTGTAGGCCTACAGGAGGAGGAGGAGGAGGAGGAGGAGGAGGAGGAGGAGGAGGAGGAGGAGGAGGAGGAGGAGGAGGAGGAGGGAGGAGGAGAGGAGGAGGAGGAGGAGGAGGAGGAGGAGGAGGAGGAGGAGGAGGAGGAGGAGGAGGAGGAGGAGGAGGAGGAGGAGGAGGAGGAGGAAGGAGGAGGAGGAGGAGGAAGAGGAGGAGGAGGAGGAGGAGGAGGAGGAGGAGGAGGGAGGAGGAGGAGGAGGAGGAGGAGGAGGAGGAGGAGGAGGAGGAGGAGGAGGAGGAGGAGGAGGAGGAGGAGGAGGAGGAGGGAGGAGGAGAGGAGGGAGGAGGAGGAGGAGGGAGGAGGGAGGAGGAGGAGGAGGAGGAGGAGGAGGAGGAGGAGGAGGCCTACAGGAGTGCCGGGGCGGCCGGTCCCTGCTCCGCCGACGCCAGGCGGGAGAGCGCGCAGGCGCTGCAGGGGCCGCCCGCGCCGACGGCGCCGCAGCCCGGCGCCGGCGGCCCGCCCGTCGCGCCGGACGGGGTGTACAAGAGGAGCTCTCGGGTGTCCAAGACCCCAGACCCCCTCGAGTTATGAAAAAATCACGACGGGAGGTTTTTCCTAATTTTCGGCCTCTGGGGCCCCTCGCGGGGCCTCGGGAGCGTCAAAAAACGACCAAGGATGAAAAACCAGTCCTGGGGAATGGGTCGAGACTTCCAGGGACCGCATATTGAAACAATCACGACATCGGATCTCTGGGACGGTGGCGCCATGGTCGCCAGCAAACCCAGAGATCCAACGCATTGAAGAAATCAAGACGGAGGTTTTTCGCTAATTTCGGCCCCTAGGGGCCCGCGCCGGGCCTCGGGACTGTCAAAAAACGACCCAGGATGAAAAAGTCGGTCCCCGGGAATAGGTCGAGATATCTCTGAAGGTCGACGTCATGAAAAAATCATGACGTCGGGGGTCTGGGACGGTGGCGCCATTCGCCAGCAAAAGATGTGCGCCCGAGCTGCCGTGAGGATCCTGCCAGCATGACGCAGTAGAGTATCGATGCGAACCCTCTGGACTTGTGATTCGAGCTCCAGAAACGCCTCGGCATGAAGAATCGGAAGAATGAATGTTTTCTTGTTTACAACAAAAAAAGCGGTGGCGCCATGGGGCCCTCCGGAGGGACCCAGACCGCCCTCGGGCAATGACAATAAATCACGGCGGGTTTTTGTTCGCTCTTGTCGGCCACCGGGGGCCCTCGCCGGCCCTGGGGGCCGTCAAAAAAGGACTCGGGGTGAGGAGCCAGTCCTGGGGAATGGATGGAGAACTCGTGGGGTCGACGCGATGTCAAATCATGACCTCGGGGTCTGGGGATCGGGCCCCTTCTCCCCTGAGATCCAGGCGCTGCAATATTTGTCACACTCGGCGTTGTCGCTCAACGTCGGGCCCTGGGGCCTTCACAGATCGATCCGGCTCGAAGACTGACGCAGAAAGATGGGGTTCAGGGCTCAGGTCGCGATTTTCTGCGATGCTGCTATTTTTGTTGCAACGTCGGATCTGACGGTCTTAGCCCGAGGGACCTTGCAGGCCTCCCCAGGACGAGATACCTTCCTCCCGAGTCGTTTTCGATCAGTCTCCCGGGGCCCGTGGAGGGCCCCGGGAGCCCCTGGATGGGGCCCCTGGCAGCGGTCGCCGGTGGCCGAGAGGTGCTTCGGCGGCCGCCGGTCGGGGGCGGACCCGAGGGGCGCGGCCCGCCCAAGATCGAAGAAGCAAAACCGCCATACAGGCGGCCCGGATTCGTAGGTCGACCCTTCCAGATCAAGGGTGCCCTCGTGTCCTGTGTCTTGCGACCCACGCCTCCTGCATTTCTGTGGCAGCATGGCCTCCGGAAGGGGCCTGTGTCCTCGACTCGCGTGTCCTCTCCAATCAAGTCCGACTGCAAGCGTCCATTTTTGGCGCTCCGCACGGAGTTTCTCTGATCCGCGCTGGGTCAGGAGGGGAAAAAACACACACAGACACACTTAATCGTCGATCCCCCAGGAAAGTATGGGAAAACATGGGAAGTTGGGGGGGAAGGCAGAAACCCAGAAAATATAGGAAAATATGGGGAATCTTTTTACTTGTGTGTGTGTGTGTTTATTTGTGTGTCTCAGGGTACAGTCTGGGCCCTGAAGAAGGAACCCTTTTCGTTGGGGAGGGGCTCCGTGTTCCTGAAACGTTTCGCAGCTTGCCTCGGGTTTTCCTTGTGTATTCGTTCGGAACTCGAAGTTGAACTCATGGAAAAAAGGGGCCTCCCTTCTTATTTGGGGCTCCTTAGGTCAGGGCCCCTTCACTGCAAGCATCCATTTTTGGCGCCCCGCGCGGCCTTTCTCCGGTCCGCGCCGGGGCCCGCTCAGAGAGCGGCGCGCTCCGCGCGCGCTCCCGCGGGCGCGCTCCGCGCGCCGCCCCCCATGGCGCGCGCTCTGCGCGCCGGGCAGGGAGAGGTCCAGCGCCGATGCAAGAAAAAATCCGCGCGGGGCGCCGACATTTTATGTTTGTTCGGGGGTGGACAGACCTCCTACCCTGACACGTCGATGAAGGAATTGGCCGTTTTCGGTTCGCGAGAGGGCGTCGCGGCCGTCATTTTTGCGGGTCCAGGCAGGCCGTTTTCTCTAAGGAGAGGTTTACTAAAGGGAGGTTTGTCCACCGCCGATTTATGGTGCTTGTTCTCCCTGGCTGCTCATTCTGGGGGCCTTCGTGGAGCCACTCGCTCCACTCGTGCGTCGAAGCTGCGTCGAGCGTCCGTCGACTCGAGTCGGCCCTGAACCGAGCCTGAGTGGAACCTGAGTCGAACTGGAGTCGAGCCAGGGTCGACCTTGCGTCGAGCTGGGGTCGAACAGACTCGTTTGGCTTGGCATCGATCGGACGTGTGCTTTTTTCCTTCGGCGAGGACCATTGAGGAGCATCCTTGATGATTTGGCGAAAAAACCACGCACGAGACCGGAAAAAACACAGGGAATGGACGTCCGAGCGATGGCCAGTTGGGGCCCCCAAAACGAGCATGTCACTCTCACCCGCAGAGCCCCACGGATCCTGACAGAATCACGACGGGAGGCTTTTCGGAGGCCTCGCCGGGCCTCGGGACCGTGGAATGACGACTCTGGATGACAGATCGGTCCCAGGGAAGGGAGGAGGAGGAGGAGGGGGAGGAGGAGGAGGAGGAGGAGGAGGAGGAGGAGAAGGAGGAGGAGGAGGAGGAGGAGGAAGAGGAGGAGGAAGAGGAGGAGGAAGAGGAGGAGGAAGAGGAGGAGGAAGAGGAGGAGGAGGAGGAAGAGGAGGAGGAAGAGGAGGAGGAAGAGGAGGAGGAAGAGGAGGAGGAAGAGGAGGAGGAAGAGGAGGAGGAGGAGGAGGGGTCGAGACCCCTGGAGCTCGACCTCGAGAGTAAAAGCCACGGCGTCGGGGGTCTGGGTTAGGGGGGCTGTGCTCCGGGGGGGACGCACCGACCCCCGATCGCCCGGAGACTGCCGATGGTGCCTGGCAGCGAACCCTGCCCAGGACCGTGTGGGTTCTGATGGGCCAAGTTCCCACCACCACTACCAGAGGTAGGAGGAGGAGGACCTCCCAATCCTCCCTTCTCCCCTGTCCTACCTACGGTAGCGGTGGTGGAACATTGGCCCCTCAGATTCGCCATCGGCAACCAGAAGCCGATCCATCGGCGATATGCCTCGCCGATGTTCCTGCTCGATGTTCGCCCCCCCGAGCCGGTTCCCTCCCCAAACGCTCCCCTCAGGATCGATTACACGTAAGAGTGACCTTTCGCCAGAGTGGCCTTTGGTGCGGGCACAATGGGGTCCCCCGATCACTGATTGCGATGCAATAGCAGCGTCTTGCGCGCCTGAGTTTGGTCCCCCCGCGGCCCCCCAAGAGCCGGTCTCCCCCCCCCCCCCCCCAAACGCTCCCCCTCAGGATCGCGGGCCAGAAGTCGGAGAAGGAGCTGCTCCTCGAGCACCTGAGGAGGCAGAAGGACCCAGGCGTTTGTCGCGCCGCGGCAAGAGCCTGGCATCGCTCGGACGTGTGCGTTTTTCTCGGCGAGGACCATCGAGGACCATCCTGGACCATCGAGCAACAAAAAACAAAAACGCACGAAACCGAAAAATGCACAAGCCAAGCGAGCGACGCCAAGAAGAGTCCGGACGGGTGGTTGGCCCGCAGGCCCGGGGCCCGTCGAGAAGCAGCGCGGGAGGCAGCGCAGGCTCTGGGGAGAGGGTCGTCAAGCAGTGGCGAAGCGTCCTGGTTCGCCTATAGCCCTACCAAACAATGTTCTAAGAACTTGTTGTGGTTCCTACGACATGTTCTTAGAAGATGTCTGGCGGAGTCTGTCTTGTTCTAGCACATCGGGCTTATGTTATAAGAACACTGTTCTTGTTCTTAGAGTACTGTTGGGTTCTAAGAACTTGTCGTGGTAGGATTCTAGGAATGCCGGGACGGTCAGTCCCTGCTCAAGGTCGGGAATTCGGGGACGCCGTGCTGGCAAAGATTTGGGTACCCCAGATTTCGTAATGAAAGGGAGGGGGTCTGGACCCTCCAAGACAAGCCATTTCAGACCCCCCCGTGGGAGAACACTCCAAAACATCGTCCCCAGACCCCCCCAGGCCCTCCAAGATAACTTGGAAGAGACCCCCCCGAAATGAGACCCCCCTCCCTTTATTACGAAATCTGGAGTAGTCTCATGTCTGAGGAGCCGGCATCGCGGCATCGTCTCACCCTGGAGCTGGCGGTGCTGCGGGGCCCCCGAGGCTTGGTCCTGGCTGGCAGAGCGGGGGGAGCAGGGGCCCCCGCGTCGCCAGCGGCGGGGCCCGGCTCGAGAAGCTGGGCAGCTTCGACCCGCAGAGGGGCCGGGAGACTTCGGGCGGACAAGCCTGCTTTAGCCTTGATCACCAGCCTGCCTCAGCCTTGATCACCAGAAAGGAGTTCGAGCACCAAGGAAAGCGTCGAAGCGGCAGGGTTTCGAGGCTTCGGGCCCTGGGGGGGACGCCTGTTCGACACTTCGCCAGCGTGTCGGGCAGACACTGCTTCGGTATCTTGCTGGGCGCAACGTAGGCCTACGCGTAAACTCTCGGCGCTCCGCGCGGATTTTTTTGTTGATCTGCGCTGGGCCCCCCTGGCGGCGCCTCCGCGCCGCCCTCCGGCGCGCGGAGCGCGCCGCCAGGGAGGAGCGTCCAGCGCAGATCCAGGAAATCCGCGCGGAACGCCGAAAGTTGAAGTTTATTGTGCAGTTTTTTGTTCCTCGACTTCCCACCCCCCAATGCCTGCGTTCTCTGAAGGCTGCCGCCCCTGCTGCCGACCCCAAAGAGGTGTTCGGAGTCTGGCGCTCTTGCGGCTCGCGCGTGGGCTGGGCAGCGGCGGCGCTGCTGGCAGCGAGGAGGCGCCTGACGGCGCATCCGGCGAGGGGCCGAGGGGCTGAGGCCGGGGTCGTGATGGCGGCCGGGGGCGCGGCGGGCCAAGGGCCCCTCGGCCGCCGAGAAGGCATGGGCGACGAGACGGCCGAGGGGAATGGGCCCTCCCTCGGCGGGCAGCTGTTTTGGCCCGGTGCTGGGCGCCTGGCAGCCTCGCGGCGAACGTCGCCAGTTCCCCTTGCCGCGGCTGCAGGAGCCGCCATCAGCACGTGGAGGAGGTCGCCTCAATCGCGGACTGCGAGGTCGCCATCTGCACTTTCGGCTGGTGAGCAGGGCAATCGATGCCCTGGGTTGGCTGGCGAAGGCGACCGGTTCGCCTGCGGTCGGCAGCGGCGGCGACTCTGACATCCACAGCGAAGTGACTGCGCGCATCGATGGACTGGCGCGAGCCCAGGAGCCGGTGCCAAACGCGCCTTCGCCGAGAGCGGCCTATCTGGAGTTGCTCCGAGGGCGGGGGTCCTACGAGGAGCCCGGCCGGCCGAACGTAGCTCCCTTCAAACTCGGGCTCGTCTCGCTGCCGGAGAGCGCCCGGGACACCCCGCGCCTGGAGCAGTTGCTCGACGCAGAGGGCTTGCGTTTTCTGGAGGGCCTTGGAGAGCAGGCGTTGCGTAGCGTCCCTGATTTCGAACGCCTTCGCCAAAGCGACCCAGCGCGGTCTCAACTGGACCCTGCGCTCACACAGAGTAGGAGGTTGCTGGTTCGTTTTATGGGGAGGCTGCATTCGATTGGCATGCCACGATTTACTTCAGAGCCCGTTGAATTTGTCGGGGCCTTCTTTGTCTGGAAGAAGGGCAGACAGAAGATGGGAATGATTGCAGATGCACGCCCCGCTAACCAGCGCTTCCTTCCTCCACCACGAGTGGACGGCGGAGGGCTTGTCACGCCTTGAGGTCGTCGTCGATGACGACCCATGCCTGCTGAAGGACTCGAGCTGGGGTGTCCTGCGGGCGCTCCGCCTGTGTTTCGGGGTCGGGGGTTGAGGCCCTGCCTTCCTGTGCCCTGTCTCCCTAGTTAAAGCTGTGCGTAGCCCGCCTAGCTTTTAGCGGGAGAGGTTCGCTCTCGCCCCGAAGATAAAACAATTGTGTCTCTGGGTCGGTGACGTCGAGAACTGCTTCCACAGGATGGTGATGCCGACCTGGATGAGCCCTTGCTACGCCTTTCCAGTCAGTTGCGTGTAGACTCCGTGGAGACCGTCGAGGGCCGCGTGGCAAGCGGCGAGGGCGTGGTCTTCCCCTGCTCCAGAGCCCATCCCATGGGGTGTTCCTGGTCGCTCTACTTCTGCCAGAACGCCAACGCCAATCTGGCGCGGCAGCGCGACCTCTTGCGGGGGGCCAGGCTGGCCACCGACCGCGGTGAGCCCATGGTGTTCTGTCTGGGCGACGGCCGCGAGCAGGGCCTCCGGCACCGCGTGCACGTTGACAACCTGGGAGTGCTTGGGCAAGTCCTGGCGGCAGTCAGGAGGGCGCTGGACGAAAAGGTTGCAGCGTTCAACAAGCTGAGGCTCGACGCCCACGAGGTCGAGATCTTCGAGTCGAAGGGCGCGGCCCTGGGCGCGGTAGTGGACTGCGAGCGCCCGCGCGCGGCCATCTCCGGCAAGCGGCGCTGCCGTCTCGAGAGGTCCCTGGCCTACGTCCTGCAGCGCGGCAGGCTTTCTGCCCGGGACCTGGGGCGCCTCCAGGGCCACTGCGCTTGCGCCGGCTAGGCGAGGCGCGGGGGGCTCAGCGGCTTCTCAGTCAGCTGCGCGTTCATCCAGGCGAACTCTTGGGAGTGGCAGGAGATGTGGACCTCCGTGCGCGAGGAGCTCAGCTCTTTCCGGGGTCTCCTGGTCTTCCTCGGCAGCGATTGGGTGTTCCCCTGGAACCGTTGCGACACCGCCTCCGACGCATCCGAGAGCGGCTTCGGCGCGACTTCCACCATGACTCCAGGGAGGTCGCCCGAGTGGGGCGCGTTGCCGAGCGGAGCCGCTCCCGCGTCAACATGGAGCTGGCTCCGTGGCAGCGCGCGACGCAGCGCGCCGGCTACGTCGAGGATGGGGGGCGCTGGGCCCCGGCGCCCGGCTGCGCCCGAGGAGGCCTCTGCAGGCGCCTGGTCGCTCGACGAGGGCTTCGAGGAGGTGCCTGCTGGGTGGCTCGACCAGGCGCGCTGGGGCCTTTGTCACAGCGGTGCCCGGGCCAGGGCGGAGGGCGTCGCAATTTTGGAGGCCCGCGCTGTCCTGGCCGCTGTGCGTCGCCTCGCCCGGACGCGGTGGGGTCACGACATCGGGCACGTGCACCTATGCGATAACATGGGAGCGGTGCTGTCGATCTGCCGATGCCGATCAAAAGAGTACTTTATGTTGGCGAACAGCAGACGCATCAGAGCCTACCTCCTTGCTCGCGACATTCGTCTTGTTCTTCGGTGGATCCCGAGTGAACTCAACAGTGCTGACGAGGCCTCGCGGATTCGGGATGACAATGCTTCCTGCTCCCTGCCCTGGCGCATCCCATCTTATCTTTGGCGCCCGAGCGCACCGGCCTCCAAGGGGGCCCCAGAGGAACATGTCATTAGCAAGCGAGCTTCAGAACCACAGCGGCATCGCGATTCCAATTATGTCCAGAGAGTCTCGTGAACAAGAACCTCCTTAGCCAACAGTCGTCGTCTAGCGGGAAATCATGACCAACATGGTCAGTATGAACGGCATGACAGACACGAGCAGCATAATCGTCATGAACATCATGATATACACGAACCGCATGATAGACATGAGCAGCATGGTCAGCATGAGCAGCATGAGCAGCATGTACAGCATGTACAGCATGACCAGCAGAAGGGAGGAGGAGGCCGCTCTAGGGCTTTATTGGGCCATCCTTGCGGTCTTGGAGGCATCTTGGGACTGTCGTGGAAACCGTTTTGGGGCGATACTTGGGCTTGTTGGGGCCATCTCGGGAGGCCTCCGTGGCCTTTTTGTGCGACGGAGCTGAAATTTAGCATTTGCACACACTTGGTGGGGCGACGGACTGCATTGTTTACTCGGTGATCAGAGCCACTCGGTGGAGGCAGTGTTTGGTGCATGCTGAGCGTTGTTGGAGGCGGAGCTTGACCAAACCATCGGACCATGTATTCCCCGAGTCTCGCCTCGACACCTTCGGGGAACACTTGGGGGGGAAAAGAGACGGGAAAGGAAAGGGGGGGAACAGCAGGAGGGAACGGGACATGTTTGAAAGCTTCTTTGGGGACTTTTGGGTTCTGGGTGTTTTGTTGGAACTTCCTGTGGACCTTTTGAATGCTTCTCGGGAGGCCTCCTTGGCGTTTTGGGGGGCCTCCGGGGGCTCTTTGAGGGAGTCTTTGGTCGTCTTAGAGCGTTCCTGTCCCATTTGACGCCGTCCGACACCGTCTTTGAGGCCTCCCGGAGCCGATTGCAGGCCTTCATGGGCCGTGTCAGGGCGGTTTTCGAGGCAGCGTAGGTGTCTTGGAGGCCTCTTCGGCCGTCGGGGCCCTCTTGGGCCCTCTTGGGGGTTTCTTGAGCTGTCATGGGGACATCTTGAAGGGCTCCTGGGCGATCTTGGCGTCTTGGAGGTTTCTTGGACGA